CCAAACAAGGAGTGGATGACTAATCGTGTAATGGAATTAAAGTTAGTACGTACAAGAAATAAATTGACTAATTTCAAACTCGAATCATTTGGCGAAACACGGGAAATAACAGTCAATACTAAACCATCGTCCATCAGAAATATTATTCCAGATGGAAATTGTTTATTTAGGTAAACCTTAATTTTATACTACTTGCTCTCTGCAAGCCGTCAAAACACCAGTTCTAACTTTCATTAAACAGCTAATCACCACAATTGAAAACAACAGTTCTATTAGTTACATTTGATGAATAAGAGTACAATTTTTTTAGCGTTTTTTCAGCCAACCAGAGGATAAAATTCATCTCTAAAATACAAAACATTCAAATATTTCCTGCAAAAAAAGCCCGACTTGTTGCGAGGAAACAAGTACCTGATCTTCTAAAGTAGTCGTGAATACGCATGTACTGTTTACTCAGATTTTCAGCTTTACATAAAAGCATCGCTATGTGATGCATTTTCTGTCATTTCAGAAGCTTAAGCTATGTACTGACCGGGAGTGAAGATTACCATCTAGTTATACGAAATCTCGTTGTCGAGCAAATTCGTAATGAAGATTATAGCAGTCACGGTAGCAATTTGAATGCTTTTGATTATATCAACCAATCAAATATTCTTCAACCTGGCACTTTTTCAAGTGGAAAGGAAATTTTCGCAACTTGTGATTTACTAAAAACCGAGATATTTATCTATCAAAGTGATAGAAATGTATGGATTCGATTTAAACCTGTTCATGTTCGACAGTCAGGTACAGCATCAATTTATTTACGTAGAACCATTCAAAAAAACCATTTTGATGTAGTTCTTGATACAGAATGAGGTTAGTGAAAAAAGCTAGACTAGTGATAAGGTGCAATTCGGTATAAAACACGTTTGTTTTTGTTATAGATAAAATATGGAAATCAACGATAGTTAAAGAACTTGGTATGAATACAAATTTTGCAAATGATGTTCATCTAAAATTATTAAAACTAATATTGTATGAAAAATGAGATTTTGCGTTTATGTCATTTGTCGCCTGCAATCGGACATTTTTTTTGCATTTTGTTGTCCGACCGTTATCCAGGTACAATTCTTGTACCTTAGGACATATGTTTCTTCTATTAAATAGTTCCGCAGAAGTTTTCTCCTACTTTCCCCACGAAAAATTGCTTTACTACTTCAACGCGGATGACAAATAAGTGCTGTTGATTCATTGTATTATGATATCACAAGATATTATATGCTTTTATTGAGAAGAAAGTTTCAGTCAATTAATTCATATAGATTGTATTGAATCTACTTTCCTTTTTGCTTGTTCTCATATTTTTAATTACATTATATTGTTCATGTTTTTCGCCATTTTGCTTCAAGTTGTCCCGCTCCTTGTTGATCCGCCCAGATAGTAGCAATAGCCTCTTGTTCACACGCCCAGAAAGTGGCAATAGCTCCTTGCCGACATGCCCAGAGAGTGGCAATAGCTTCTTGTTGAAAAATTTAGATTTGCTGAGGAGATCAAAAGTTGTAGCGAAAAATAGATATTGTAATGGGATTACAGAAAAGAGAACATTTTTTCTCTGCTCTTAGAATTATTCAGAATGCGCCGAAGTTACACATCATTACTATTCTTCTTTTCATCAATAAACTCAAAGAAGATATCACTGAAAGCGCATCTACCTACACCACTGTACTAGCTACATAGAAAACAATGTTGTTTTTGTTAATCAAAACATAAGATATTTTTACATGTATGTGTTCAAGTATTTCACGTCTTTTTCTAACAAATTAAATTATATTCCCATTAACATCAAAATAAACAATGATAAAGAAGAATCTATGTACTTATCGAGTTCACAATAAATTGTTTCATTATTACTAGATCGAACGATGATGATAGAAGATGATGTTTTTCTGAAAGAATAAATAATAAGATGCTAACACAGTATTTATACTATAAGCTTAAAAAGATAATGTAACTTTACGCCTAGAACGTTCTCCACACCCCTTTTCTTTTTCAGTTATTCAATTCACATATGTACCAGCCCCAAAAGATAGATACTTCTTTCTACCTCTTTTCTTCTTCTACTACTTATATTTTATTTCTCTTTGTTTTAACATGTAAAATACCTATGGTACATATAGTACATACATCACCCCGTCAGCTACGTCGCCGGGAGTGGCAATAGCTCCTTGTTGACACGCCCAAGGAGTGGCAATAGCTTCTTGTTGACACTCCTGCGAGTGGCAATAGCTCCTTGTTGACACTCCTGGGAGTGGCAATAGACTCACCCTTATTTTTTCTTGACAACGTACGACAATATATTCAAAGTTTCTTTTTTCTTTTGCTTTCTGGATATTTTTTGTTTGTTTCTGCATCACTGAGCATCACTCATATCAAAATATTTGCACTTACATATCTTTCCTTTTGATTTTCTACATCGAAACGAATCCTCTTCAACCAGATACGTTAGTTTGTCTATGACTTAAGAAATATCTCATTCACTTTTACGGCTTACTAGGTTTTAACTTAAGTGGAGCCACTGTAAATGGTACGTGTTGGACTATCTCTAAACGATTCAATCAATTTCTCATTCACTTTTTCGATGTATTTAGGTCTGCCTTTCGCTGAAGCATTTCCAGCTGGTAAGCATAATTGACTACCTTGTCGAATAGAAAGATATCTCATACATGTGTAGGTACACTTTCTGACAATAATTATTTAGCTTTGATGTATCATTATCATTGATGAACGATCAATTAAATACTGGTATTTCTCTTTGTTCACATACAGTTGGTATGAAGATATTCGTCACTTGATCAAGGTTGAAGTTTTCACAATTCCCTACTCTTGGCATTAGCTTAGTCATGTAAGAAAAGTTCAATTCAGCTATTTTCATTTTTCGGCTCAGTTCTTCGACTATTTTTCATAAGATCATTCTTTATTGTTTCATTTATATAGAAGTACGTATTACCTGACCTTTCTGTACGAATATTTGAAGCAAAACAAGTTTCTTCGTACATTTTTGTGGATTTTGTATAGAAGTTTGAATGATCTAAGCTTTTCTACAGTCGATAATTTTATTCCCAAAGAACGTTGACTCTCACTTCTCACCCTCAAAGTCAGACTGAATGCTTACATTACTTCTAGTAATAGAGCGTCATACATTTCTGTTATATAAGCACACGACAAATATAGAATGTACTTAGTGTCGAGGGTCGAAACGGACATTCTTTTTCTTTTTCTGTTCTAGTCACATCGTGTGTTTGTGTGCATCAAAACATATCCTTTTTCTTTTCTATCTTCTGCATTACGGCCGGATTGCATATTTATTAATGCATCATTCTCGATACCTTCAATAGTTATAGGCGTTATAGGCTTCATGCAGATAAGAAGGAAACGTGACATCACTCTACACAGACAACACTCTTAATGTATGTTATATATGTGTACCGTACATTGCAACGTGAGCACACACTATATATAACGTGAATAAGAAAAGAAAATTTGTCGCAGCTCTATTACCTTCACTGATACGACAAACTAGAGTTGCTTTTTCTTTTTTTTCTAACTACCCTAACTGCGAGATTTATTCTAAGACAACGAATAGAGTTAAATGAAAAATAATTTCCATGTTTAGTTAGATTTTTTCTCATGAGCATTTCTCCTTTCTAGAAACTGCAATAGACTTTCTGCTAGCGAGAATGAAACTGAATAGAAGTAGAAACAAGTTATAAAAATCTGACATAAATAGAATCAAGAGTCCTGAAAAAATGGAGAAAGTCCAATAAGAGTAGAAGGACCTGGTTCTAAACCTAAAACCTATTAGAAAAAAACTTTCTTTCTCCGTACATTTAGATTCGTATTAATTAAAACATGCAACCGGCACCACCACCTCCAAGTGCTTTGGGGAAATATCGTCTTTTATCGCCAACTGCGGCTGTTCGTGTCTCGCCACTCTGCTTGGGGGCAATGTCCATTGGTGACGCATGGGAACGGATGGGGACGCAATCAAAAGAGAATTCATTCAAAATTCTCGATTCATTCTACGATATGGGTGGAAACTTTGTCGATACTGCCAATATGTATCAAAATGAACAAAGTGAAATTTGGTTGGGAGAATGGATGGCCAAACGGCAGAATCGCAGTCAAATGGTAATTGCACCAAGTTCAGCAGTGGATATAGATCGGACTGGGAGAAAGAACCCATTCACGTGAATTTTGCTGGCAACTCAACAAAGTCCCTGCACGAAAGTGTCACTGCTTCGCTGAAAAAGCTTCAAACTGATTACATCGATCTTTTCTACGTGCACTGGTACGAACTCTGTTCTATTTATTATAGCATATATATGATCATTTTCTTGGTATTTTATTTTCTGTTTCCTAGGTGGGATTATACTTGTTCGATTCCTGAGTTGATGCAATCTCTGGACCATCTCGTCAAGGCAGGTAAAGTACTTTATCTAGGTGCAAGTGATACACCTTCTTGGGTGGTGGCGAAAGCGAATCAATATGCAAGAGATCATGGACTACGTCAATTTTCGGTCTATCAAGGTCGGTACAATGCTGCACAGCGGGATGCAGAAAGAGACATTATGCCAATGCTTCGAGACGAAGGAATGGCTTTCGCACCTTTTGCAGCATTAGGTGGAGGAAGGTTCAAAACAAAAGAACAAGTAGAAGCAATGGAGAAGGCGGGTGATAAAGGAAGAGCTTTTAACGAATTTATAAAAGGTAACGAATACTTTTACAAAATGCGAGCTAGTATATGTGTCTATGCTAATTCTAGTTCTATGCTAATTTTGAATGTGCAGTTTGTTTTTGTGAAGATCCATCCATGTAAAAAAGCTAATATATTGCTATGTTAAGTGATCCGGTTACAACCTGGTTTTCCAGAGATTCTCTGAAAATTCGACTTCAAAAATTATTCCGCAAGTTATTTTAGCTTGTGGAAAGATAGCTTTAAGTCTTGGCTATCGAGTGATGGAAATCGTAGGTCTCTATCTCTTTTTGTTCTTGAGCTATGCAGAACATATCCACACCCAGTGACTTTTTGGATGGACAGTAAAATTCAGGCAATGCAAAATTTCGGTGGAATTTGTTTTTGGCATTTATACATATTCAAATTCAACTTAACGAGCTGATTACGAATAACACCTTCCGAGCCTTCAAAAGCTAGTTCTTCATGGAGAAAAACTCAAATTACTGAGAGGACCTGAAAAATACAAAAAAACGTATCCTCTTCAAAATGAGAGTCAAGTGAGAGCTTGGTTTTCCGCGGCTCGGGTGTTGTGTCGAATTTCTTGCGAGTCCCAGGACTGGCACTCGGTGACTATTTGTAGCCTTGAAAACGGATGGAGTATAGGTAATCGATCATACTGAGTCTTGTGGCAATATTTGTTTTCAGAATAAATGCTAAAAGTGTACCGAAAAGCGAGTTTTATGAAAATTTGGATTTTCAAGCTGTTTTCATGCATTAAAAAACTCACTATCCACTCAATAAACATCAGAACGAGTTCAACAGTTCAGAATATAGAGTATTTAAGCTATTCTATATTTTATTTATAGGAGATGTTAAAAGAAAGTTTACAAAACCCTAAGGTTTTCCAAAACGGTTTCTGAAAAACCCATTAACGCAGATATGCTTTTTTGATTTTTCCGGTCTTATAATCCCATTTAGCGGAGAAAATCGACCATAGCCTGAAGGTTTGAGCGCCTTCTGATGCTTATTGAGTGAATAGTGAATTTTTTAATGCATGAAAACAGCCTGAAAACCCAAATTTTCGTAAAACTCGATTTTCGGTAGACTTTTAGCACTTTTTCTAAAAAAAAATATTGCCACAAGACTCAACATGATCGATTACCTACACTCCATCCGTTTTCAAGGCTACCAATAGTCACAGAGTGCCAGTAAAGAGGGAAATAACCTCCAATTTTGCTGCACACACTTCGAAGTGTTTCTCACTTTTGAGTGACACTTCATCACTTAAAGTGACACTTACGATTGAACCTTTCTAGATGTCCCCTACCGATTCCAATGATTTGTACATGAATCGATAGATCTCAGTGAGGTAGTAAATACCCTAAATGATTCGTGCCCATCAGTTTCGAAGACTCCGCTTTCTGTAAAACCAATTTTTCAGAAACTCTAAACAATAACCAAAACCTCCTTTTAATGAGGTGCAATTGTAGTCCGCAAATTTCTGATTAATGAGACTTATCACATCTCTACATGATCTTTCTTTGTAAAGTTATGGAATTTACAAGGAAAGCTCTAAATTAATTTCTTATTTCTCTAGCTTTGGGCTGACAATGAACATTTAGGGCTTTCCTTGTAAATTCCATAAATTTGCAAAGAAAGGTCGTTTGGAGCTGGGGGATGTCTCATTTTAATCACCCTTTAAACACAAATAGAGTACATCTTGATATTCTGATATAAATTAGATTGATCTTGACTGGATTATGAATGTTTGAATTATGTTCGAACCTTGGGTATCATAGCACGGAAGAAACTCAATACAATCCTATTGAATTTTTTTACACACGGCCTTTCTAAAGATCATCTTGTGTTTCTCTTTGGTTTTCAGTAAAAGGCGTTTTTCTCAGCAAGGAAAACGAATTTTGAAAAAAGCTCTACATATTTTTAAAGCTGGCGTGTTGGCCGATCTGATGATCTGTGAATCATCGATATAGCCCTTCACCCCAAACTAGATAGGTTTACAAAATGACAGTTGACAGCCGTTGGTTCGGACGTCCATGGCGGACGACTATTTACCTCTGAAATGAACTGAAAACCTTTTTCTAAATCAGTTTTCAATACTGATACAGAAAAATATAGTTCGAGCCTTCCATCTTGCAATACAAGCTCAAAAAGTCAATTTCATCATAGAGGACGTTATTTTTGTATTTTTGAGGTCCTCTCAGTAATTTGAGTTTTTCTCCATGAAGAACCAGCTTTTGAAGGCTCGGAAGGTGTTATTCGTAATCAGCTCGTTAAGTTGAATTTGAATATGTATAATAATGCCAAAAACAAATTCCACCGAAATTTTGCATTACCTGAACCTTAGTTCAAAGTGGAATTTGACTTTGGCCTAGGCCAATATGACATTGGACTAAACTTTGGATGCTAACATATATATATACAATTCTTTTCTTTTGTTCTCGTTTTATATACTCTATATATAACACAAAGTGTGATAAAACCGCGCGGTGTGCACTATGCGAGTATTACTCGCATAGTGCACTAACAGAAGAAGAGAAGAACACATCAGGAGATAAGAACAATCAAGGTAATTTAACTACTCTTATATTTTAACTTAACGGTAATTTAACTTATAAAAATTTGACACTCTTTTCGTAGAAGAAGAGTAACCATTCTCGTTTGATGAGACGGTGAAACTGGAATAAAATGGAATTAACAAGAACAATGTTCGAACAAATGTAAGAAACGACATGTCAGTTAGTATTAAACTATTTATTTTAAAAGACATTGTGCCTTTAGGCTTTTAGATTTTTAGACATACAGTCTTTTAGACATCGTGTCTTTGAGACTTTTAGAACATGATCTCAAGGTTCGAGACGCTGTCTTAATTGACGAACATCGAAATGTCCTAAATGACGCAAGAATGAACCGGATTGGTTCAGTCTTGTCTGAGCAATGTTCACGTTACAAGTAGCCCCAAAGTGCAGGTTGAAAAACCTGAAAAAACGGTGATAGGGCTTTTCCAAAAAGCATTACTGAAAACACAGACAGAACGAGAGAAAATCCGCAATACAACTAATCGGTAGAGAATTCGAAGGCATACTTGCTCTAAATACAACGCATACGTTCCTTTGCTGAGATCCAAAGGAAACACTCGGACATTGTAAAAAACTCCATTTTCCCCCACTTTTCGTAAAAACTCTCCCATTTTTTTCTCTTGAGGTTTTGAGCTTTGCAACCAAGTTTTTCAGATTCAGCATATATTTGTACACGTGTACTTCGGAATGTTGAAAGAACTTGATTCATATTCAATGCGGCATCCATTACTTGACTTCGATTGTGGGGTATTGGGTTCAAGTCAATAGGACTCTTACGACTCTTCAGCTTGAAGAAAACCAAATATCTGGCAAAGCTGGTGAAATAATCGTTGATGCATTGAAAGTCCATCGAACGCTCCGAGTAGTGAGACTTTGATTGGCTTCCAGTGCATCGCCGATTGCTTCGCATCCTTTGTCAGATGTATGGTTCCTTTCGAGATTCAGAGTAGTGCCATCTGAATCACTTCCAATGCATCGGCGATCTGTTGAATTTCATAGTCAAATAGATTATTGTTTCCAAGATAAAAAGTAGTAAGAGCTTAACCGACTTTCAATGCATCGGCGACTGGTTCACTGCCTTTGTGAGAGATTTGGTTCCAATGAAGATTAATAGCTTGATTGATACTCAGTGCATCAGCGATTGTTTCACCGCCTTTGTCAGATATTTGGTTTCTTTCAACACGAAGAGTAGTGAATGGATAATAATTGACGTGTCGTTAAAAGTATAAATGTATGATTAACATAACTTCAAAATGAACATTCCGAGCTCAAATGCCTGTGTTTTGAATAATAGTACAAAATTAATTAATTTTCGAGCTCAATTGCCTTATTTCGAAAGAAATATATTTTAGAAAAATAAACGAGTACAACTGCCTTATTTTTATGCCAACTAACGACACCGAGCCATGGAAAGTTAAGCACTTGGCAAGTACTTGAACAAGGACTACTTGCTCCAGCCAAGTACAGTGCGCCTCAATTGGTTTTCGCCCTTTGATATTTTTTGTTTTTATTGCTATACTTCTTCTATTTATTAATTTTATTAATTATTTAGTATCTATTATATGTAACAAGAAAGCCTGGAACGCGCTGCATCTTTTGGTATATTTACATTAAACATCAAATGCAATTTAGAGTGTAAAGGATGTATTAGAAAAAAAATTACATTTTTTTACTACAGGATATCCATAATGTTGTAACATTTTTTATTTCGAGTATATCTCGGCTCGAGTAAATTATAATATCTTAAATTTTTTCCCAGAAGATGCGCCGTGAAAAGCTCTATAAAAATTGTATGATCGAATTGCTTTTTACCTGTTCTAATGGTTTTTCTAATACTCAAAATGAAAAACCTACATGACAGTATCACTGTCCATTATCTTGAAAATGTTTGAAAGACTTTTTGTTTTACATATATCTCGATTTCAGAAAATAATGGAATATTGAATTCTCGTTTAAAAGATGTGCCGCCGAAAGCTCTACAAAACTTGTATAGACCAAATCCTATAGCGAGTCATGTTACAACATTATGGACATCCCGTAGTAAAAAAAAAGGCTCTTTTTTAAATTAAATAGAATTTCGCTGTTGTGGGATCTCTATCTCAAAAAAATGTTTTTTTAGAAGATTCTCTGTCGGAAGAAGCTGTGCTAATCACGCACCATCAGCAGCATTCTCGTCGTCACGTATTTCAGGAAAAAGGTTCACGTTTGATGCAGAACCAATCAGTTTTCCAACAAAACATAAAGTTCTCGTCGACAGACATCGAGTTTTTGAGAAAAACACATGGAGTTCTTGTGCGGACATATTTAGTCAGAAAAACTATGAATATCTTCAGAAGAAAAATGTAGTTCTTGTGGAGAAACCTCGAGTTATTCAGGTAAGAGACGAAGTTCTCTTGGAGAAACATAGAGTATTTCGGGAAAAACATAAAGTTCTAGTGGAGAAACATGGATGTTTCAGGAAAACGATGAGGTTCTCACCGAGAGATATCGAGTTTTTCAGGTAAACACACTCTTGTTGAAAGTCCTTGTGCAGTCAGATCTATTCAGAAAAAACCATGAATTTCTTCAGATGAAAACATGTAGTTCTGGTTGAGAAACCTTGAGTTTTTTAGGAAAGAGATCAAGTTCTCATGGAGAAATATTGCGTTTTTCAGGAAAACATGACGTTCCTGTGGAGACACATCGACTTTTTCAGGAAAGCGATAATGGAGACACATGATGGAGTTCTTGTGCAGACACATTGATTCAGAAAAAAACATAAATTTTCGAGAAACCTCCAGTACAGATGAAGTTCTCCTGGAAAAACATCGACTTTTTCAGCAAGGAGATGGAGTTCTCGTGGAGAAATATCGCGTTATTCAGGAAAAAGATCATGGTCTTATGGAGACACATTAATTTCTTGTCGAGAAACCTCGACTTTTTCAGAAAACATAAGTTCGGTTTGAGAAATATCGAGCTTTTCAGGAAAAACATTCAGTTTTTGTGGAGAAACCTCCAGTTTTTCAGGAAAGAGATGAAGTTTTCTTGGAAAAAGAAAGCCTCCCAAACCTTTTTTTATTATGCACAGTATGGTGAGAAGTATGAAAAGCATGGTACGTCACATAGGAAACGTGCAAGAACGAAATGTTGCGATATATATACGTACAGAAAATGTTTTGTCTAACATTTCTTTATTCTTTGTCCAATAAACTACCGTCTTAGGATTGCTGAGTGCTAGATAACTTATAACTTTTTATTCAGAATTGAAGAAGGGTAAAAAATTATTATTACGCGGTCATTATTCAAGTTTGTCAAACAAACGCCCAGCAGAAGCCTATTTTAAAGGTCTTGTTGATATAATAATGAAAATGATGTTGATTTGTTAATAAGACGACTTGGAAAATATGCTATTAATCTCGAAAGTTTTGTTCAATCCTCTGTGTCGGTGAAGCTTTTGAGAGCTTATGCATTAAGTCAACTTTGCAAAGTGATGTTATTGTATCGTAGAATTATTGAATTTGTTCGAATTTAGTAGGAGCAACTGAAACTTCTCAAATATTTTGAACACCTCGGAGTTGATCATTTTTAACTTGAGTACGTGTTACTAACTGTGTCAGTTTTTTATCAGGTACATGGAAATTAAACCAAAATCTATATTAGTACATTATATTTATTTCCTTCTCTTCTCTCTTCTCGATATCATGAAACAAGCAATTACATTCTACGAACCTGGGTTAATCATTATTAAATTTAAGAAAGAATTATTGAATTTGTGCGAATTTAGGTTCTTGTTATGATTTATAATCCGCACGGAAACGATCCAAAATTAATTAACCTTTGAGTATTTTATTGTTTCTTTTTTCTCCATTTTAGTAGGTTCTTGCACGTATTTATCTTACTGTTGTTTATGTTAACGTTTTGTTTAAAAAGCCTTCTCCGACTTTTATATATCATTCCAATCGTCGCCTGATAGCTAACAAAATCATAGCTCATCTTTGAAAGATTTTGTTTCCTTACCGAAAAAAGTCGACATTACTGGAGAAAATGGGAATTCTGTCCCTAGTCCACAATTTTCTCCATTACAAAACAACTTTTACGCAATGAAAATATCGTATTCGGAATCAGCATCTAAAAGTCGAATCGAATGATTCCTATTTCAAACTTTTTCGATAGTTTTAATTTTTTGATATAAATCTCAGTGATTCTTAGACGTGAAAATTAAAAAAAAGTGATCGAGTAGGATAAAAAAGTATACAAAAAGTCGGTGAAGCAACAATATCTTACAAAAATATTCTTAAAAAAGAATAGTTTTTTTCAGTGAAAAGTTTGAAATGGTGATCTAATAACTGACCCAGATGGGTGAAATCTTTTCATTCTAGGCACTTAATTATGATTTTCATTAAAGTCGATGAATAATGCTTCCACTTATAAACGTGGATATTACAGTTTTACATTTATTCACAGTAACAATTTGTTATTAAGCATATCAATAATAGGATCATTAAGCTATAACGAGCGAAGTAATTTGGAACGCCTACGTAGATCAAAATCAATAACGCACCCAACATAAAGAACACAAAACATTTATCAATTTTATCTAAAATGAAGAGACTAGTCATTGAAAATTTCCTCACAACTTTTAGTTTGTTCATACTTCTCCTTTGAAATTCGACTAATCGCAGTCTAAACGAAATGATTATAACATGAAAATAATATATAATAATGACAGGAAATATTTGAATTGAAAGTTAGAAGCATTTCGCTTCTTGAAAAGAGTACAAATACATAC